AGATCTAGTACAAAAATACAACTCGATTTTCTTCAAATGTACATTTTTTTGAAAGCTCTCATTTTCTGTTGTAAAATTTCTGAACTGTGTCTTTCTGTCCCATAATATAGACACCATCATCCCAATACATTAATCTATGACCAATTACATAAGCTTCAGTTAAATGATTCTTGTGTGTTCATCACAGTCCTTCATGTAAGCAGTCCTTCATTCACATAGCATTATTAATGAATGGAAGACTATTTTTGGTGAAATTAGAACTAAAAACTAATGTCCTAGGGACTGGTTTTCTTAAACACTGAAGTCAGCAACCAGCTCATAATTACTTACACAAATTAGTTTCCTGAAGTCAGTCTGAAAATGCAAATTAAGTGTTGTATGATCTATTCCTAATGCTGGTAAGTCTCTGATACATACCCCAGTGATCAAAGCTCTTATGTACCATGGTTTTTGATGTCCCTTGCTTGACTGGAAGGGAAGACTCTACCTGTGTCCAAGTTAACATGTAAAATGCATTGCAGGGACAGCGTGAATCCAATTTGCTCTGATCTATGCGAGGTTGAAAGGGGTATTGCAATCTGTTGTAGAAAATATTTATTAAGAGAATTTTAGTGCTTGTCCCTGCTATACTTCTTAAAACAGCCAATGGTAGACAAAAATGTGTTTCTGATTTGCACAGTAAGTTCTAAATCAAGTTTTAAAAAGTGACCTTTTAAAGCTTCAACATTTATGACATGCATGACCTAGCAGTAGTCTGTGTCAGGCTTTTACTAAACCAACTACCAGAAGCAAAGTGGGATTGCCATGGCTACAGTCCTTGTACACTTGCATTCATTTCCAGTGTCTCCAGTTGGGAGAGAAGTTTCTTTACAGAACTAAAAGCATTGTCAGATCAGCAGCTTCTGTCTGTTGCAGTAACTCCACAGCCCACCACGCTGACTTGGTTTCAGGTGTGATCAGGAGGGGGAAAGGCAACACAAACATGATTTGAACAGAAACACAAGTACTGTGTATGCAATGTGTTCGAGCAAACGTGAAGACAGCTAGCAAGGTTTCATTAAAACCCTTCATTTTCATTAAGAGAATGTAAGAGAACAGTTGTTAGAAATGGTGACAGTAAATCTTTTGTGCTATTTGCTGAGGACTGAATTGTGGGGTAAAAATGAGTTCAATTGGATTGTGCCACTTGGTACTAAACAAAGTAAAGGTTTTTGTGCAAGTGCCACTCCCTAACTCTGAGATACTCTTCCATGTAGACAGCATCCTTTCTCAGGAAAACTGGCTGCTGCCTGGATGCAATTTCAGATTTCACAGAATATTCTGAGTTGTAAGGGACCCACAGGATCATTGAGTCACTCTTCAGTGAATGGCCCATACAGGGATCAAACCCACAACCTTGGTGTTATTAGCACCAAGCTTTAACCAGCTGAGCTAATCTTGGGGTTATTGGCTAAGGCACAATGATATTTATTTGCGGGTGAGAAAAGGATGGAAAAGTTGGTCACACCAGATGTGTGTATACTCTGTGGCCCCTTCCACAGATACAAGAGGATCTTTTTGCTTTACGAGCGTGATTTGTATGTCTAAAATGCTCTGTGTACTATTTGTATACAGCAATCTTTTGTTTCAAGGCATTAAGTGTCCTATGTTATGAAAGGGTGTTTTTACATGGAAAACAGGTGTCTGAAGAATTGTGTGAGTACAACTTTGGAAGTTGTTTTTGGGACTTTGACTACTGTCTCCAGAAATCCTTATTGTCTTGCAAAATGTTACAGAACAGCATAACTTTATTGGAATGGTCACTGCTGAGTTGTAAGAAACTTGAATCATTGGCTAAAAGTAGATCAGTCTGTTTAGCTTTCAGATTGTCTGTTTAGCTTTCTTTTGGTATAATGTGGAAGTAATCTCTTAAGCTGTTTTTATCAGGAGTTAACATTTTTCTTACATAGTTATTTTATTACAGTATAACTGATGGTCCTCATTTACCTTCCCTTCCTTCTTTTCTAAAATAAAATTAACTGGTTTTTAATGTATACTAATATACATTATATACTCTCCATTAGAAGACAACCAGGTCAAAAGAGAAACAACTGAATATTTAATATTTGTCGATTAATGCATATCTAGATAAAACAATTTGATAACTAAAACTCATTTAGAATTTGGCTTCCAGGCTAGGACTCAGGGAAAGAATTTCTGGATGCCTTCTGTTCTCTTTTGAATCTTTGCCAATATTCATGATGGTATTTCCATAAAGTCATATTTGTTTTCTTTAAGAATATATTTCTTCTCTGTTTTGTTTTAAATCTGTAAGATGTTATGGTTTCCTTTTTTGGAAATGGAGAAAAAAAAAGTAATGTATTTCACTCCAAATGTCCCTCGTACATAGCGCAAATGAGTTTGCCACAATGTTAATATTTAAGGGGAAAAATGAGACACATCGCAACCCAAGAATCTAAACTTCAGGAATCCAGTCAGCAACCTTCAAGTCTTTGGACAGACCCTGGAAGGGTCAGCTTCTGTTCCATGCTGGGAGCAGGAAGAATACAGTTTTCCCCTAGAACAATTGACTGTTTGGTTGTACCCACCTACTAAAAACAAAAGATAAGAAAGAGCTACTCAATAACAAAATGCTAGTTTACTTCAGCTCCACTGTGCTTTTGGAGAGAACTAGCAGTTATTTGAGATAATCTTTTCAAGGAAAAGTCAATGGAGTTGATAAGAAGACTTCCTTTAAGAGAATTCAAGCCGGGAACTCTTTTTCTCTGCTATGGCTGAGATGTGACATTGTGTTTAAGGCTTCAGTCAGAGTTAGGCTGTGATCTTCCTGTTTCTGAGCTCTCCGGAGCAGTTCTAAGTCTTTCAACTTTACAGACTTCTGGGTCATTTCTAATCCAAGTTTCTTGCTAGAACTAATGATAAACTGCCAAAAAGTAGATGTTCTTAAGTAGGCACTTGAGCCAGTAGGGAAAACAGCAATACAATGCGTGCCATCCCACCCTCTCATAGCCAACCATCTGGACTAAAAACCACTTCATATGTACTACTTTAACATGCGTCTCCCAGGCTGACCAAATATGCTGTTTGGGGAACACAGGCAGAGATTCTCTTGACTTTGCTCCCCCAAAAGGCTGGCAGTGAAGTAAAGGGGGAAAAGTCTTCCCAAGTCCTTGAAAATGAGACTCCTCCACATCAGATGGCCTGGAGCAATTCAGTTTTTCAGAACAGCCTCTTGTGAAGAAATCCATGTTACCTTCAGTGTTTACATGGGAGGTTACAAGTCTGAACAGGCTTTCTTTTGGCAGTTATCATTGCCATGCAGGTGACAGGTGGAAGAAAATTCCTGGAACTCCCCAGTGTTCAAAGGCAGACTTACAAAGTTTATGAACCCACAGTTTGAAAGCACATCAAATCCCAAAATCCTGCCCTGGGCAGGGCACTAAGGTAGTAACTGAGCAGTCAGAGATGCTTTCACTGAGGTATAGATCCAGAGCAGGATGAGGATGTGCTACCTTCTGCTTTGCTCTAAGCAGAAGCAGCATGTGAACTCTGTGCTGTCTGAGCCTCGGCTGCCTCACTGTTAGGCCAGTGGGCTATTCAGGCACGGGATGTGGTGCATGAATGGAAGCATTCATTGCCTTTCTCTTCTCATGCTTCTCTAAGCCTCGGGGCATTGATCCTGTGCTGTTGCCCCTTATCCCGAGCAGAGGAAGAGGCTGTCTCTGTCCTCTTCCCCTCTACTCTAGTTCCCTTGCAAAACAGAAAGCAAGATTCAAAGCAAGATTCAGCACAGAAAGCACTAATCTAAAATAAACTACCATTAGCCATAATAAAGTCCAGCATATCTCTGATTTATCAAACTATCTGCAACTGTGCAGAAAGTCACGATAAGACAGTCCTCTCTCCAGTTCAGGGAAAAAAAGTCCTTGCACACATTAGATTTACTTCAGCCAAGTCATTTTCAAGGACCTCAGTATGTGCTGCACAAAGTCCTTCTCACATAGCCTTAACCTATTAACTGCTCTTTAATTTCAGACATAATCTCAGTTAAAAACCACAAAAACTCCCTGTTCTGAACTCCCATGTGACCACATCAAGGGACTCTACTTATGATGAGGATTATTAAGCCTGTTGGACAGGTTATAATGATTGCCTTCCCCACAGGGCCTCGCAATATCCGGGCAGTAGTTTTCTGCATGATGTTTTCTGATGATTTCTAATGATTTTCTGCATAAAGCAGACTATTCCTCTGGACCCTTGTTTCCTGACAGCAGAAACCACTGTTTCTGTTCAGCTGAATTCCACCCCCCCACTCCCTACCAGAACAGCTGCTGCAATGTTTTGTATCAGACACTGAGGAAAAGGCTTCTGAGAGCGAGTCTCCTCCTGCGGCAGCGCGAGGAGCTGCTGTTGGCTTCACCAGAGCCAGGCTGTGCACTCTGTTGGGTGTTTCTACTGTTCTTTGAGCTTTTTTCTTTGTATGTGTTTCTGTAGCCAGCCACATAGCTCTGTGTGTGTGCAGATGACAGATGTGTTTATATTGCTTTATAGGTAGGATAGTGTGTAGAATTACATTTCACCAGATGAATGTGAAATGCTAGAGTATGCTTTCACATACTCAGCTCCAGCAAAATACCTTTTAAAAGTTGTTCCAATGTACAGAATACCATTTTCCATGGCAAAGTCTTAAGAGTATGTTGTACTGCGAAAGTAAGGTGCTTAAATTAAGAACACAGGATATTCTGAAAGTCAGATTCACTGTATCAGGAAAAGAGAGGGAAACTCTGTTCCTTCCTTTGTTACTGATAGTAACATTTTTTTCTATATTTTAGAGCTTGAACCTGTTGTTTTCCCAATTGACAGTTTGCTCTGTTTGATGTAGACTTGGTAAGGCTTTTTGCACGTGAGCTTTGAAGAAAGTACTTCTTAAATTGGTAAGTATTGTGCCTGTAGCATGACACTTGTCACCTTTTTATTTATCTTAAGAACTGAGCAACAATTTTCAAAAGGTGCACAACAGATTATAAGGACAGCTTTGACAAGACCAGAGGAAAAATGATAGTGGTTTAATGCTTTGGGGGTTTTGGAAGACTGTAGAGTACAAACTGTCATGAAGCCAACTTAATATAACTGTTTCCTTTATACTCTAAGGATTCACAAGGGACTTCACTGCTAGTATACAGGAAATAAAGTCTGTTGTGCTAGAAAAAGACTTTGTTGCTTACAATTTAGAAAACACAAAGTTTCCTTAAAGGAAATGTTACATTCATACAAATTCCCATATTTATTTGTAGACAAAAATTACCATTCACATAGCAGGAAACCTAGATGAAAACAGAGACAGCATTGACTTAAAAGCCATTATGGAGCATTGGTAAACAGCAATAAACACAACTACACAAAAATTTTATTTAAATGTAGATATATCTTTATTATTGCCTCATTTTCCAGTACTAGCCTAATTTCTTAACAGGAATTCTTGAAAATAAATTGCTACATGAATGCAATTCTTCAGTGAGGAGCTCGCAGAGTTTATTTTAGGTAAAGCTTGTCTTCTGTTGTTACACGATTCGACCAAGATATACTGACTTGGGATATTTTTCCTTTAGATCAGGCCACTGAACGATGAAATAATCTGAAAAGTAGTAAAGAATCTTTCCAGACAGGGATAAAGTCTCCACACGGCAGATGCTCTCTACATATACAATGATTGATCTCTTTATTCCTAGAAGGCCAAGAAGAAGAGCAGATATACAGACAGGAACACATGTTCCTGGTCCATTGCACAATATCTAAAAGAGATGAAACATATTACAAAAGTAAACCACGAGTTTTTCCATACAGTAAAGAATTAAAAATGTGCATATTCATTCAATGTTACATTTACACAGAAAATATATTTCCAAATATATTGGAAGAAAACAGAACAAGCAAGTGAATATGAAAAACTGTGGGGGTAAAGGAAAGGCATTATTTCAAAGTAGCTGCCAAAAAATATTTATTTACATGTCATAGAGCTTTGATATGGCACAGTTAATTTGTATGAAGGAAAAGTTTAGAATTCCTTGGATATATAACTTAAACAGTTTCCAGTCTCAGTCACAGCTGTGTGTTGTATCAGTCATGAAATCTATGCACCTAATAAGTTGAAAGAAGTTTAATTAGGATTATTAAACCTGAGATCCAGTTATAAACCTCTTGAACTTTGGCTTAAGTCAGCAAAACACTTAAGAGTTCACAAAAAATGTACTGATGAATTAGGACCTTCACGAGACTCTATTAGCTGATAAGCATGACTGGGTTTTATTTTTTATTTTTAATAAACATTAGTAGATAGTTACAAGCATACAGAAAGAAGGTGTTTTGGTAAAAACATGTCACATCCTTGCAGCAGAGGATCTCAAATTCACTTATAAATGTTAACAGTAAAAGGAAGTACTCTTTTAATTTTAGATATTATTCAACTGAAAACCAGATTGCTTAAAAGTAAAAGGTTTAAACCAGGGTACATTAGGCACTCTACTTGGTATCAAAATGGATTTCAGGCAAGGAATTTCTTACTAAACTTAAATACTACCATGTAATCAGCACTTTTCTGCACAGCTGGGGTTACATGGAAATAAAGAGTTCTTTTATAAAATCATGGCTCTATATCCTACAAACTCACTTTTTTTTTTGTTCCAAGTTCACCAGCCTGTGAAAGATATTATACTGGTGGGGAAAAAAAAATCTGAGTTTCTCTTTCAGGGCTGTAGCAATCATCTCAGAATATTTCCTTCCCAGCTTCAGGGCAAGATCCCGCTAATAAACTGGCTGGCAACATCTTGCCTCTGTTAAAAGGGGTAACAGTTTTGGTGCTACTGAGTTCTAAACTCTCTCACCTATACTGTGTCTTTATCATAGCCTCAGAAATCTAGCTTGTGGATGTGATGGCCATACTGCTGTTGGTTTCTTATCAGAATCAACAGAATGTAATACTATTTGCAAAATGTTATTGTTGATCTTAATTAAACTATTTATTCATGCAAGACTTGCTGACATTTTCTCAAAGTCCCTTACAAGCAACATGCTGCACACATTTTTAATCTTGGAATTTTAGGATATCAATGTCCACACATTCTTGTATTTGGAACGTGAAGCGGTGCGCTGATTTTATAATTGCAATTATACAGCTAAGAAGCAAAGAAGCTGAACACATCAACTTTGGATACTATTTTGAAACCAGAGTAATATACTGTGGTTTCAAACCTCCTGCTGAGCCTGACTTCAAGTAAATTCACGGGACTTTAAACTCTACAATCTGCTGAGAATGAAGAAGCTGTATTTTATACATCTGGCTTAGTGAGGAAGGGCATAAACCAACCACACACGCTGCCTTTCAGCATTCCATAGAAACTTTTCCATACCTGTGAACTAAACCATGTATTTTACCCTATTTCTTGACAAGTTTGATTAATTTGCATTGATGTTGATTGTGATACTGGTACATGGCTACTGATATGTAAATTAAGGCATGTTTAGGTATCTCTATTTTTAATAACATCTGTTACTGTACTGTAAATAAAGGAATAGGAAACAGTGTGGACTGCTCCTCTGTCTGCCAGCAAAACCCACCTGCTGCCGAAGCTGGACTATTTCAGACAAGTGCATAAGAAGCACTAAAACTGCCCCAATAAATTATTTACTACTTATTTTTGTGAGTTGAATATACAGTCTAACTACTGATTTCATATTCAAAATTCAGCTTTAAGCGAACTGATAAAAATGGGCACCACTGCTGAACACTTTCTCTTTCCTTTAGTATAGCTACCTGGAGTATTGCCTCATCTTCATTGCTCCCCAACTCTTTCTCTGTTGTATTACTGTTCTCTCCCCTGTTCTTTCCTCTGTGTCATCAATTTCCTTGTTTTTCTGTACTCTACCCAAGCCTCTCAGATGTCTCCCACCCATCTTCTCTTCCTTGCTTTTCTTTGTGATTCATCTCCCTCTGCATCCCTACCTATTGTCAGGTGCCCTTCCACCTATCCTCCTTTTGGAAAGGCTCTGCATTCCTGAGAGGCTAAAGAACTCAATACAGTTATCTAAACAAGGAGTTTCACATTGGTCTCTTACTTTCTACAGTCTGACATAAAAAAAAAATACCAATTGTGGATATGATTTAGGTCAGGTAGACATCCTAACATTCTTCTCAGCCCATAAGTTGAGAATTGTAGAACAGGTTTTATAAAAAGCTGAATTATTACAATCATGATCTTTATCAAGGCATTGTGCCATACACTTCATCCTACTTACCCCCCTTATTAAACTTGGCTAGCAGCTCCAGTCCTTTTGGTATTTGGTATTCTTGTGTCTAGATGCACACACAAAGGTAAATGCCACAATGAATTCCAAATTAAGTGTACTTACGAAAGATCATGTAATGAAATAACGGTAAACAGGTCTATTTGCAAACCTCTGTGTAGCTCTAAAGGCCACACTGAGCTGCTGTTATTTTGCTGAGGTGCAAAACAGAAAAGCAATAATCAAAATTAAAATCATAATAAAATACCTCTCCTATATCCAAGTTTTGATAGAATGCACTCAATTTATACTTTCTACTGACTAACTTGTAGGGTGTTTCTCAAATGCCCTTTGATTAATGGAAAAGCACTTGCATGGAGGAAAAAGGATCAGGAAAATTATGGACTTGGCATCTCTAAAAAACCATGATATGATCATAACTCATGTCCTCTGCTCTTTCCCCTTCCACACAAACCAGTTCAAACAAGACAAAGCAGACGTGGCTTTATAGGATTTATGTATGCCAAATGCTCATAAAATACTCTGATTATAGATGTTGCTATTCCAAAATGCTTGGATTCAGGAACCGGCCCCTGAAAGAGACTCTGGTATAAACCTTCTGAAGCCCACAGACAAATAGGTCCCTATCTGAATTGGGGGTCATGATCTGTAAATCAAAACTAGTAATCAATCTTTCTGAACACTAAAAATTAACCTTCAGTTAACCTTCAGCGCGTGTCTAGAGACATGTCCTACCTAGAACTGGTGCAGTTGCAATTGCAGTGGCAATTCCCCTCCAAAAATCTGGTCTGACCAGTCCTACTTACTCCCTCTCACACTGTCAGCAGGAAGGGAGACCAGTGTTCCTTCTGCCTGGAATCCAACATCATACACTCTTCAAGGGATACAGGGGAAACTTCTGAGAAAACAAATATGTACATCATAAAGAAGAGGAACCATTGCAGAACTTTAGGCTAGAAATGCTGCTGTTCAGCCCCTGCCAGTATACAAACTTGCTGACTGTGGAAAGGAACCAAATCATGTACAGCCTTCCTTAAATATGTAAGAGAAGATGAGCCGTCCTACTAGTGAATTTCAAAACACTATTCAAAAGTAACTTTTGGAGAATGCTTGATGTCTTACACCTTGAAAAGACCAACTTTTGTTTTTCCTCTCCAGCAGAATACAAGTCTCTCTCAGTGAATCCAGTGGCAACCACTAGCATGCAGGGAAGAGACAGGCACCTATTGGGCAAGAAGGGACTAGGGCCTCTACAAGGTCAATCAGCTTTTCAGGGTGTTTCCCAATATCTATTTACTTTAGCTACAAGGCTGCCTGTAGAATATTTGTGTTGCATGAGATATGTCTCAAAAATCTCTGGTTTATTTGGTTCAGCCTCCCTTAAGGAGGCAGCAGAAAGGGGGAAAGAAGGGGCCAAAGACAATTTTTGTGTCACCTTTGTGTCACCTTTGAGCTGCAACTGCCCAAGGACTTTCCTGGTCACTGGGCTATCTGACTTTGGTGCCAACAAGTGGTAAGGCATTGTTCCAGAAGCCAGTGCCACAGGTCTCTCTACACAACTTACATGCGCCTCTAATGCAAAATGTCCAGCTCACTGCTGAATTGGCTCACTGGCTGCCTGGGGTCACAGCTAGGTCTGTAAATTAAGTTGTATATACTAAAAACCTCTACCAATTCCATCTAACCAGACTTTAAACAGTACAATAAACTAATCAAGCTGTATATTAATGGAGGTTTAAAAGTAAAGGATCAGAATACAAAATTTATCTTTAGCTACTCTATAAATCTAATTTCATTTTAATCACTTTCATATAAAAATTGAATAGTTCTTGCTTTTATGTTTCAGATATTTTCCACAGCTGTTGAAAGAAAATAAGCTAAGCCAGCAGCCTGGCACACTGAGAACACTGGCACATGGCACCACTACTGATAAAAGCTACTTCAGAGTTGGTGAATGCAGCACTGTGGCAGAGTGACATTTACCAGCAAAAACACTGAAAGCAGAGCTCACAGCTTCACTGGGATTAAATGTCAGGCCACTGATTAAAGCAAAAATGAGTAAAGCAGAAAACTTGCAGTTTTTCTCATAAATACGTAAACATACATTTGCTGTATATCTTCAATAAGGAAGTGTTTAAGTACTACTTATGTTCCCAAATTACACCAATCAAAGGGAGGACAAAATAAGTCCCCCTAAACTTAGTAGAAAGTGGAAAGCATGTGTGATTTGTTTTGCATAAGAAATTGTCAACACCTGCTGTTCTCCTTAATGACTTCTGCAGAGATTGGCCTTTGTCACCTGGGCAAGATCAGAAAAACTGCCCAGCTTCCTGGGGCTGGAGAGGTTTGTGGTGTTTACATGTGAACTGAGGACTGCTTTACCAGACATGGAGCTACCTCCTGGAGCATATTTAGGACATTGCTCAGGCCTCCTTAGTTCTGGTAATGCTTCCTACTCTGCAGTGTAAAACAACTGGAGATATGACTAAAG